AGTCTTCATTAGGCTTAGAAGTAGCTTCCAACAACACCCATGGTTTAAGTTTATCGACGGCCACTACAGTCTTGAACGTTTTATTTCCTCGAAGATCGCATACTTCATAACGGTCGTTATAGAGGACTTTTGTGACCTTAAAAGGTCCTTTAAATTTTGGGAGGAGTTTACGAATAGTCCCCGTAGATGGGGCGTCAGTCTTCAACACCATCACCACGTCGTCTTCCTTGTACTTCGCGGCCTTTGCTCGCGCTTTATCAAATCGTTTTTTTTGTGCATTTTGATTTGCAGTTAATCGTGTCGAAACTTCATGCCGTAAAGCCTTTAAATCTAATCGCTCTAAATTCTCTCCTACTTCATTTGAAATTCGAGGTTCAGCTAAATTACGTGCCTTATAACCAGCAAATAATTCTAACGGCGACACATTAGTTGCTTTGTTTACAGTGCAATTTATAGCACTCTGAACCTGCTTGACGAACGTATCCCATACATCTTCAGGATGCCCTGCTGTCATGGTACAGTTCAATTATATCTTTCATACTGTCCATTAGCTCTTGGTGTTACATTAAATTCATTAGTGCCTTTGTGACATGTCGAGTTTTCGTGTCCTTGACTGGTTCTAAGACAACAAACTTCGTAATAGCATCCACAATGACCAAGATAAACTTATTTCTTCGTTTACTTGTTACGAACGGACCCAAATGGTCAGCATGCAAGGTATGGAATGGTGTAGCAACTTTCTCAATAGGATGGAGCATTCCCTGTTTCTTGCCACTGGATTCTTGTAATACATACAGTTTAAACAAGCAACGTATTTTTTTACAAAAGACTTCATCCCTGCAAACCAGTAATTCTCCTGTATTTTCTTTAAGGTTTTTCCACACCAAAATGACCCATTTCGTCGTGGTTTAACTTGCAAATTTGCCAGCGAACATCTCGTGGCACAACCCACTTTTGCCTTCCATCTTCTAATCTTCTGTAGACTTTTCCATCCTTTAAAATGTATTCTACAAAATATTGTTTTGTCTCTCGGGTTTTATTTTCACCCTCCAAAATTTTTCTGATCCTTGAAATTTAATCATCTTGCATTTGAGCTGCTTCAAGCCAGTCAGCTTCAGTTAGGTCGACTTGACATACATCCAACTCAGGAATTGGATTTCTACTTAGGGCATCAACATGTGCCATTCTTGTTCCAGGGCGGTATACCACTTCAAGGTTAAAATCTTGCACCTTGAGCCACAAACGGGCGACTCTAGGTAATAAATCTTTCTTGGTAAAATAAGTTCGAAGAGTATTGCAGTCGGTAAATACTTTAAATTCTAGTCCAATAAAATATACTCTAAAGTATCGTAGGGCAAGAACTACCGCTAATGTCTCCAGTTCATATGAATGATAGATAATGTTCCGGAGTAGTCTGTTTTCTGTATTAACCTACAACTTGAGGATTTCCATCTTTATTCTGAATGAGCATTGCACCAAATCCAAGGGAACTGGCATCGGTATGTAATTCTGTTGGAAGTGTTGGATCAGAAATGCTTAAAATAGGAAGACTTGTTAACATTTCTTTGATTTTTCTTACTGCATCCTCTTGCTCTCTTCCCCATGTTGAATTGGCTCTCATTCGCTGCTGTGCTGTGATTGGTTGAACATCCAGCAGCGAATAGACCAATTCGGCTATAAAAGAAGGGATTTCGATCCCTTCAAATCAGTCTCTCTTGAGTCGTCGAGAGATAAGCAACCAGACCCTCTGGCTGCTACCAAGAGTTCACCGTCGATCTTTACCAAGCAACTTGTAGTCTTATTCCTGAGTGTAGGCAAAACCCGGTCCTTCTGAGGACCACTCCTTCGAAAAGATTAAACTGAAGACAACGCCAAGCCGACGTCATCTCCAGCCCGGACCAGCGAGTACCCAGCAGCCAACCCGGTGTCCAGGTGTCCACCAGGTGCCCCCCAGGTTCTCCAGGTGGTCCAACCGGCCGTCGCGAGGGCCGCTTCCAGGTCTACCGCAGGGCCGACCCCAGGCCATCGACAGGCACGATCCCAGTCCACCTTCCGGGCCGATCCCAAGCCCCGACCGGGCCGCTCCTAGGCCCACTGCCTGCTACTAGTAGGGCCGCCCTCCAGGTCACTAATGGTAATAACCCGAAGCCAGGCTACCACGTCCGACCCTTTTTTTATAGAGGTTTAGGAAATCTGCACGTCAGACCCCCCAGGCATTGATGTTCTGGCACCTGGGGGAGTGTGGGGATGGATCGCTCCGACCCACTAAAACCCTGTCCTCTCTTCGTGGTGAAACCCTGCCAGGAACCGCCTTTTTGGCATTACTTCTGGCAGGCCACGGTATGATTTTCAGCTCTCGTTATCTTAGCTTTTTTCCCTCAATTGACAGCTATGGTTTAGCTGTGCGTTTCGATTAGTTTTTCTTGCTTCTCCCTCCCCTCCATTATCTGCATGTTGGTTCTCAACCATCTGCATATTGTTTGCCAGTTTTCCTCTGATCTTAATATTTCTTCTCCAACATTCTCCTTGGTAATTATCCTTTCGCATTTCAGATTTACTTCCTGTCTTAGATTTTCGAATTCTTGGCATTCGAAGATGCAATGCTCAGGGTTATCCTCGTGGCTACAGAAATAACACTTCGTATTTTCTTTCTTTCTTTTCTTAAATAAATAAGTGGCAAACACTCCGTGTCCGGAAATTGCCTGGGTCACGTGGTAGTCCACGTCCCCCATTTTTTTTTTCGTCCAGCAGCGGACATCATTTACGAAAACTTTACTCCAGCCTTCGTATTTATCCCATCTTTCTTGCCATTCCCTTAGTGTTTCCTCCCTTGCCAAGTCCCTGTTATGTTCATTGTCTCTTTCTAGCCTCACTCTTTCCTCTATCAACAAGTCCATTGGGGGTAGTCCCGCTATCGCCTGTACCGCTTCCGTCGCCACGGTTCTGTAGGCTGCTGTCATGCCTATAGCTAGTCTTCGGTTGACCCTTTCCAGCATGCTTGCATACTTTTTGAATCTTAGTGCTTTCGCCCATATAGGGGCTCCGTATGAAATTGCTGATATTACAGAACTGGCCAGTACTTTCCTCTTTCGGGTTGACGGTCCGTAGGTTCGGGGCATGATTCTTCCCAGTATATTTATCATCTTGTTAGCTTTCTCACAGATCTTTTCGACGTGGCTGGTCATCTTGAGATCCTTATCTAAGTTTACACCAAGATACCTCACGCTTTTCTGACTCTTTACTATTTTGCCTTGTATGTTCACAGTCATCTTCTTTACAGTCCTCCTTCCAACCAATATTAGTAGTTCGGTTTTGTGTTTGGCAACTCTAATTCCCATCTCTTCCAGTTTATTTATTATTTGAGACGCAGCATATTGTGCATTGTCTTCGAGTTGTGCTCTTGTCCTACCCGTTGAGACTATTGCGAGGTCGTCGGCATATGCCACGAGTTTATTCCCTCTTTCAAGTCTAGTGTTTAAGATGTCGTCGTAAAAGAGGTTCCACAGAGTTGGACCCAGTATCGATCCCTGTGGAACCCCACAACTGATGTTTATTTCCTCTCCATTTGCTGGCGAAATAATAGTCCTGTTCGAAAGGTATGCCTCGATCATTTTCACTATGTATTTACTTACGTTTTTTTTATTGAGGGCCTCTACAATCCTTATCCAGGGCGCCGAGTTAAACGCGTTTTCGAAGTCTAGCAGTATAAGGCTGCAGAATTCATGATTTTTCAGCGCCTTTCTTCGAATTTCCTCGGTTACTTGTACTACCGCTTTAATCGCGTCTATTGTAGATCTCCCCTTGATGAAGCCATATTGGTCTTTATGTATTAGATTTTTTTCAATTATCTCTTCTTGCAGCCTATTTTTTATTAGCATCTCGAATAATTTGCCCATGCTGTTTATGAGACATATGGGCCTGTACGATATCTGGTCGGTTGAATTCTTTTTGGGCTTTTCTATTAGTATCAGCTTGGACATTTTCCACATCTTAGGGAATAGACCTTTTTTTAAACAGTTATTGAATAATGCCACAAAAACTTCCGAGTGTTTTTTGGCGCAGACCTTTATAATTTCCGATCCTATGCCGTCCGGACCTGCTGCTTTTTTGACTTTCAGTTGCTGGGCAGCCAGCTCTAGGTCCGCTTTGCTAAAAAAGTCAATCTCGTCCTCCGTTAGGGGTGGACTATCCCAATTTGCTTTTTCGTGCGTTGGAAACAGTATATTTATTTGTGCCTTTACAGTGTCATGGCTGATTTTATTTGTCGGTTTTAGTTTTAGTTTCTTTGTTATAATTTGATAGGCCTTACCCCATATATCCTCCTCCAGTTCGTTGCAGAGTTGTTTCCATTTTTCCGACTTTGCCTTCTTAATCTCTTTGCCGAGAACCCTTTTAGCCTCTTTGTATCTTTGGTTTGCTTCTGGCCAGAGAGGAGAATCATTTTTCAATCTGGTCTTTTGTCGGCGGAGACGTACACATGTAGCTCTCATAACTGCTATTTCGTCATTCCACCAGTATACTGGCATTCGCATATTGTTTCCTCCCTTTGTGTTTTTTAGGTGTTTTTGACACATTTTTGTGATTCGGTCTATGACGTCTTCTGGAGATGTGGTGTCTACTCCTCTGAACATGTCCTCGCAGCCCTCTGTGAAAGCCCTCAGATTTCCAGTAGTCGTCTTAAATTTGTTTTCTGTCTTGTTTATATGTTTTTTTTGCTGTTATTTCGGTTATTGTGAATTCGATGTTATTATGGACGCTATAGTTTTCTTCGGATTCTTCCACTCTCCAGTTCTCGATTTTTCTTGCTATTTTGAAGGTTGCTGCAGTGAAGTCAACCGTAGATGTACCTTGTGGGTCGGCAAAAGTTGGTTTGTCTCCTTTATTTAGAACAGTAAAGTTTTGGGACTCAATCCAGTCTTCCAGGATGCATCCCCTCGCATCTTGTTTTCTTGACCCAATCATTTGTATTTTCGCGTTTAAATCCCCAGCCACTATCTTTTCTTTTCTACTGTTCTTCATATGACTCCCTAGATCGTCCAGCAATTCTTCTAAACCTTCTGTTGGTTTATTTGGGGAATAGTAGCACGAGTAAACTATAACACACATAAGTTCTACGCATACAAAGCCAGAATGACTAGACGATTTTATCACAGTTACGTTATTATTTATGCCAATAAAGCTATCACATTGTATATCACAGAAATATTTCTCACTCATCCTCTTATTCGGCTCCTGTCCGATGATAATGTCTATATTTTCTTTCCTGGATTTGTACTCGAGGAGGTCATGCGCCTGTCCACATCTGTTAAGGTTAAGCTGCAGTACCTTGATCCGTTCGGCGTCTCTACTTGGCATCGGGAGGTCTTCCTGTCGCTGCAGTCTTTGTCCTCTCCCGTTTTGCGTTTATGGCCTCCTTGAGGGCCTTCTTATATTCCGGGCATTTGTTGGAGCCCGTTATATGTCCCGCCTTAGCGCAGGTGCTGCAGTATGGTTCACTTTCCCTTGGACATTCCTTTGCCCTGTGGCGTTCCTTGTAGCACTTGTAGCATTTGTCGGACTTCTCCTCCTTGCAGTTCTTGGCAACATGTCCGAACTTTTGGCACCGATAACATCTTGTGACTCCAATCTTCTCTTCTACTCTGCAGTAGCGCCATCCGATTCGGATTTTCCCGTGTTCAGTAACTTTGTCGACTTGTTCGATCGGAACCATAATTCCGGTCATTCTTGTTCCGTTCGTGAGGGTTCTCGGAGCTTGTACCTCAATACGGTCGGCTGATTGGTTTATTTTAGTTGATATCGCCAGTCTTATGTCACCCTCCTAGGCGAAGGAGGGGAGGTTCTTGATGAGGAACTCCTTTCTCGCCTGTGATATCACCGCTTGTGCTTTACCCTGTATAGCATTGTTAATGACTTCTTGAAAGGCTTGGTTACCCCCCTCGGTTTTGTCGACATAGCTGACCCGAATCTGCCCGTTGGAATTTTCGCCCATCGTGGTGATCCTCACTCCCAGCTTTTCGGCATCGATTTCGTTGGTCATTTTCTTGAACAAATCCGATAACGTTTTTTTATCTACCGTGGGATTCAGAAGTAGCGTGTTTTTCCGGTTTTTTGGACTTTCCACTCTTTTTCGTCCTTATTTTGTAGTGAGCCCCTTGTTCCGGTCAGTCTGACCTCGATCTGCATGCCATTAAAGATGCACTCAACCATCTTTTGTATGCGTGCGTCATCCCCTCCTGCTGGCAGCGACATGGCTAATTTGCTCCGATTCTCCTGTTCTAGAAGACTTCTGGCTTTCACCAGAGCGTCGTAAGTGTCTTGCTCCGTTTTGTGGGCGTCTTCCTGCATGATAGCTATTCTTCCCATCTTCTCGATGGTCACCTTAACGTATCCAAAGTTTCCTTTTATCTCAGTCAAATCCGGGTATCTGTCCTTGAAGGCCTTCGAAATCCCCCGCTCTAGTTTCCCCTCTGGTGCGCATACTCCGATGTCCCATCCTTTCCCCGCTACGAGGGGGCCGTCTTCGGTAGTCGTCGTCACCGCGTAGAGCTCTTGTGGCCATTTGCGTGTCACAATGCGTTTGAAGTCGTCGTATTTCTTACATTCCTTTACGTCGGATTCAGTTACCGTGTCTGTGGCTTCTACGATCTTCACCGCTGCAGGGGGTGACTTTGCCGCCTGGTCTGCTCTGTCCAGCAGCCCCTTAATATCTTGCGCTGCCAGCTGCGAGGCCAGGCTTCTTAGCCCCAGGGCCATATCCCTGATTTCCCGTTTCGTGTTTGTGCAGCCTTCCACCAGTTTTCCCAGCTGCTTGATTCCTGACATTATTTTGTCTAGAACTTCTCCTGCTTTTCTGGTTAAGTGCCTATTGGTCTTTTTGGCAGAATTCGTGTCGGCCGGAGTTGTCTCCTCTCTTGGTCGTTTTCCCGTCCTTGAGGTCCTTTCTGCTTCAATGGATGTGCTGCTGCTCTCGTCCCATGTGAGATCCAGGACCAAAGAGTTTTCGGCCCCTTCTGTTAATTTTGGTGGCGTAGAGGAACTTCGAACCCTGCTGTGCAGGGGAGTGGTCGACGCTCTTCGCGGTATAGCTCCACTTGATTTGGCCGGTGTAATTGCGTTTATGCCTGTGTTCTTGATGTCGGTTTTTTGTAGATGTAAAGAGGTACTGCCCCCCCAGATCCGTGGGGCAGTCTGCTCTCGCAGAGAGGGATTCCCGGCGTTGCCGGACCCTCCTGGGGATTCTTTTTAATACTCTCCATATTACATGATTGGTTTTTTTAAATGGTTCCCTTCCATCGCTTTTTTGACCTACAGCCAGGTGTTAGGTACGGCCGCTCCTCTGGAGGCAGACGCCGACCCAGAATCCGCCCGTCTCGGGTCAGACGCTCTGGGATTTGTGTGTGTGTTTTTTGGTCCGCGAGGGTACTACGACCCCTACCTCCCATATCTGGGAGGCGTGCCCCTATCGGCCACCCGGGGGACGCGCCACGATGGAGGAAACACACAAAACCCCGCACGGGACCATGTCCGACCCTACTGATGATCCACCAGTCCAGACCCTCGAAGGAAACGAGGACCAGTTTCTTCCAGCGGAGGACAGCTTCCAGGACGGCGATGCTGGGACAGAATCCACTGTCCTTCCTTCGGAATTAATTTTAGGCCAAGATAGTCAATTTTTGTTTTAAAGAAAGAACATTTACATAGCTTTAAAGTAAGGTTGTTTTTTCGAGTCCTTCTTCAAAATCAGGGCATGGTTTTATAATATCGTCAGTATATGGAAAAGCTATCCTATTCTTAAGTGGTCCTAATACATTATTAATTAGTCGTTGAAATACCGCAGGCGCATTGCTCAACCCAAACGGCATTCTTAAAAATTTGTAATGGGACTCAGGGGTTAGGAACGCTGTCTTTTCAATCAATTCTTGAGACATAGGGACTTAATAAAAGCCAGAGGCTAAGTCTAAACCTATAAAATAAGCATTGCCACTCCCCAATTGATCAATCTGGTCTTCTATGAGTGGTAATGGATATTTGTCCTTGACAGTGATTGCATTTAATCCACGCACATTCTAAAGTCACCCGTTTTCTTTTTTACTAATAACACAGGACTTGCGTATGGTGATTGTGACTCCCGAATTATTTTATTATAATTATAATTCTGCAATAATTTCTTTTAGTTTGTCTATATCATTAACTGTCATGCGATAGGGCCTGTAAACAATAGGCTCCTCTACTTTACATTTTATAGTCATTTCTACAGCATTTGTTTTACCCAGCTGTTTCAAGTTGGTAGCCACGCAATCATTAAAATTTCTAAGTAGACAATTCTTTAACGGTAATTAATCCTCGTCAAATACTTCTGCAATATTAACTCTAACAGTGGATAAATCAGGCAGAGTCCGTAATGTAAAACGATCTGCTATTTTTTATAACATCACGTGCGATTGGTTTATGAAATCTGTTCCAACTATTAAATCGTGGTGCATCTCGTCGTCTTTTAAAATTACATTTACTTCCGATATTAATTCACTGACTATAAAACCCATAAAACATCTTAGCATAACTCTTTGAGTATCAGGTACAATTGTTAATTTTAATCGAGACGCCGTTGAATGCTTTATTATTGTACGACCGCTACCTGTATCTACCAGAGCTTTTAGTTTAAAACCATTCATCATAACTGTCTTTAAGAAAGGATTGTTTCTTTTTAAATCAAAATTAACATCAACTGCGTTACTTGTAAAATTTTTCGTTATATTTTTTGACCATCTGCAATTTTTTTCTTCATGACCTAATTTATGACAGCGCTTACATTCTATTAATGGCTTAAGGCAGTCCCGAACGCGGTGATTTCCATGGCAAATATAACATTTCATGCTTTTAGAGCACGTACGATCGTCTTGATTATTTTGTTTATATTTGGTATTAACAGGTTCAGATTTAGTAACGAACTTACTTTTATTGTCGCGTCTATGCTTTGACTTGAAGTACCTGCTCCCGTATTACGTGAATAAGGAGCAAGGTCACCGATGGTAATAAATTTAGCGGCTTTTAAAGATAGTTTTAAATTAGCGTTGTCAATACCTTCAATGACACTGTCTATTAAATAGTCTTCAGGGATATTTAATTTTAATTTGTTAAGCTTGGCAACTTTTTCGAAACAATAATCGCCAAGATTTTGCCTGGATAAAGGCGCATAATTAGCTGCCTCCAACAATAATCGTCCAAAACGAATAGGAGTTGGAAACTTTTTAGTATTAATTGTTTCGTTTCGCTCCATTCCATACAGGGGTTCGACAAAGAGTCCATTTACCATTTGCGAGCATTACCCTGTAATCGACTGGTAACAAGCCGAATAATTGTTTTATCATCCCATTCATAAAAGATTAGTAAATAAATCTACTTTCTCACCCAATCCACGGCATCTTGGTTTTTAACAGATGGATCGAAAGCGAGAATTAGTTTTTCGTCGATCGTTACCTTGAGCCCAGTAGAATTGGTTCGCACTTTCTTTCGTAGAGATTCCACTTGTTTTTTCAACTTTTGCACTTTTGCTTTCGCTCTTCGATTTCTTCTGGATGGGCCAGAACTTAAACTTGTAGTCGAAGAACTACTATTGCTACTTGAGGAAGACGTCGAGGTCGACGTGCGACTTCGACGCTTTGTTTTTTCCATTACTGAGTGTTCTCACTGTTCACTTATAAACAGGAATTCCTTAACTGTCGTAATAACTCGCTTTTTAGTTTTTGCACAATATTACCGACCATGGCCGCAATGTCTTTTACACGGCGCGTACTTGGGTGTATCCCACTTCTGATTTGTTAAAAATTCATAAACTTAATTTAGTAATTTAAGAAAAGAAAATATTTAATAGAGTAAAAGCTTGAATACAATTTAGACTTAGACTAACTTGACATAACTCTTTAAACTGAAACTAAAAACTGTGAACATTCAAATACATATATTGTTTAAATTAAGGCATTGCAGTCGTCCAGGCAGGAACCTGAGTCAGCATCGCGAGAGAAGCAGGGCCGTATCCCATGATTCTCTAGCATACTGTCGCTAATAATAAAAACGCTTCAATTTCAAAAGCTGTTTTTTTCCTTTTATTAATTATATTATTATATTAGGCAGAGAAAAATGTAAAAAATACTCATACAATGGTACTTAATAAATATCCTTGTTTTACTTTCTATATGATCTACAGGGTTGGCAAAATATGTAGGCTTTGTAAGTTGCTGCAGGATGGGTTTCAAAGAATGGGAAAACTATTAACTAGGTAAAGAAAATATAAATATTTAACTCAGTAGTTTAGTAATTTGTATGTAGCTTCTGATATATTATGTACTTCTTTTAAGGTGTAGAACTTTATTTTTAAAAGTATTTTTAATCTGTAAATCAAAAACTATTTCATTAATTAAATTACAAGTTGTAAATGCACAGAAGATTTTTTCAGGATGCGACTCATATTTTGAAACCTGCTTGAATTTAAGTTGTACAAATTGTTTCATTACTGTTAAATGTTCTAATAAAAAAACATCTTATTAAGATAAATATACAATTATACAATTACCTTAAGCTAATAATGATAACTCTTACTGAAATATTTAAGAATAATTAAAAATTAAACGAGAGTATTAAATATATACAGTTATAAAGTTATAACTTTATTTTTAAGTGCGGGTTATTTTATATTTGCCAACTTAAGCCAATAGTTTTATTTGCCAACTAAAGCCAAGTATACTTGGCTATCTTTTATTTAAAATTAAGGGCCAGACCAAAATAAAAAATCCAAATAGCCATAGTGCTTCCTAGTAAAATTTAAAAAAAAACGCTTTTGATTAATCAGTGTGCATTAATGAAGTTAGGTTACAAGTCTTTTCAAATAGGAATTTGTCACCATTAAAGTCTTCCAGTACCAATGTTCTACTGATGTTCTAAACAGATTACAATTACATATTAAAAGTATATCTTTCGCCTTTATAGCTAAGGACCACCGTAATTCTGCTCTTGTTGCATAAATTATTATTATTTGCAAGCATTATATATATATATATATATATATATATATATATATATATCGATGCCTGTTAAGTTGTCACTTCCGTAGTATAAACAAGGCGTCCTAACTTCCACATGAACGAAGGCTTATACAAGCATTTTAAAACTATATATAAGTGAAGGGGAACCTACGTAATCCGAATCTCTAGAGAGGGGAAAGGATTTCGCAAATAAATATTTGTGTACTATGGCCGTGACTTAGTCACTTCCATCATATATAGAGACAATTGCATCGCAGACACTTCCGACAGGGTTGCCAGATTTTCGAGTCTAAAAATAGATTTAGTCTAGTTATCTCTCTCCGTTGCTCATGCGGACCTTTTTTAATTCGAAACGCTTAAAGTAAATATTCTGTTATGTGCAACACTTAGTAACCACGATTCGTTCGCCAAGCGTAAGTACGGCACATTCGACGTTCGAAACTAGTTATTAAACTTGCATTGTTTAATAATATTATTATGTTAAATTATGTTAAATTATGTTTGGTAATGTTTTAATAATAATAATAATAATTTAATATTTTTTGAGTGGAGAGAATATTGCGTGTATTATTATTATATTATTTCCAAATTAAAATTATAATAATTATTATTTTAAGTGTAAGACATCCAAATTTAATATTTTTATTTTGTTTTTGTTATTTTATGTGTTGGGTTATAATCTCAAACTGCGCTGTGGCTAAATGTATAAACTGTAATAAATCTACAAAAGGTACTAAAAAATAAAATGTCAAAATTTACGAATTTAAAAAAATAGTAAGTACCTACTTACATACGTATTTTTTAATATAATTTTTTCTCTCGTCATAAAAATGTTAAAATTAATATTTTTATAGAATTAATAAGGGTGTTTATCAAAGTGGACAACATAATAAAGTTTGTAGATCTTATAAGAAATAATTATCGAGTCCGACACTTTTTTAAATAAATATTTTTCATTGGAGCTGTTATTT